TTTGTGGAAGTTCAAGGGCCCAGTTTTGAAATGGAAAGATTGAACAAATCAAAGAATAATGATTAGAAAGGGTAGTTCCTTCCTGGAGTTTCTTTTCCTAACTTTTCCAGAGTTTATTTTCACTTTTACTTATTATTTTTTCCCTCTTTCAGTTATTGTTCATTAAATTTGTATTCTTTTGTACCCAGAATCCATTCGCTTCTTACCACCTATGCTACTATCACCATTTCTTTTCTAACCACTCCCAAACCACTGTCCATCATCCCACGTCTGGGGGATTGTAATACCGCTTCCTCTCTCCCCTGGCACTATATACTTGACATTGCAACCAAAATGTCACATGGAGTTTGAAATCATGTTACTTCTACATCAAACCCAAAACCATACAATTGCTCGAACCATCTCCCTCCCTCCTTTCACTCTTGAGCATGGCCGATGTTGGCTTTTAACACTAATAGTTTTATATGCAAAAAGAAAAAATGGTTTGCGCAACTATAAAGGTTATACAGAAGAGGCAATGTCTGGGGTGTGCTGAATGCGAGACCCACGGGAGGATGCAGTGTGGGAATCGTTCTGATCGCCTCAACCTGCACTTCTCAGCCCTCCTTGAGGGGCGCTCGGGCACGCGGGCCTCGCCCTCGGAGGACTTCATTTCCCAGGATGCCAGTGAGCAGGGCCGGCCGGAAGGCTGCGTGCCCTCCGCGGGGCATGATGGGGGAGTTGGAGATTTCCATCATGGCGGCTTCCATTTCGGGCTACACCTTCAGCGCTGTGTGTTTCCACAGCGCCAACAGCAACGCCGACCACGTAGGTGCCGGGCCCCCCGCCGTGGCTGCTGGGGCCTCCAGCTTCCGTCTCGGGCCAAGCCGGGATCACTCGCGGCTCGCCCCCTCGGGCTCCCGGGCCGGCCCGAGGGTCTAGTGACCCGGGCTGCTCCCGCCCCTGGCGAGCTCCTGCTGCCCGGGACTCTTTCGTTCCCCGGATGGGCTCCCTCATTCGGTGCCTTCTGCCACCCTACGGTCCTGGGACAGCAGTCTTCGGTTTAGCAAAGCTGTCCCTGCCGGCTGCTGGCAGTGTCAGGAGTCGCTTAGTGGAAACCGAGCGCCTGCCCCTCCCTGGGTGTCAGGCTTCTAGACTTGAGAGGGGAGCCCGGGGTCGGGAAGGAGCCGAGGCACCCAGCCCCACCCGCTCATCTTACAGGTTGTCGTGGGGTGCGACGAGGGAAACCATGGCTGTCACTATTCATACTTGTTAGATATGATCGTGTGTTTTCTTCGCTTCTACTGAAAATGGAGAATTTAAACAGGAGTGGTAGGTGTAGGGTCTACTTGCCTTAAAGTTGTATGTTTAGTTCCTTGGCGAATGTTCTGAGACCGCGGAACTAAGTCACAGTGAAATAGGGAAGTGACAGGCCTACGTATGAGTGATCGGAAATGAATAGGCTTTGGAGCCCACAGAGGGAGCAGAGCCTGTCTGCTTCAGTGTCTTTATTTTTCGGATTGTCTTTTAATGTCACTGGCCTCTGAATGGAAATTCTTTCTGAAACTAGGTAAATTTTTTTTAATCTTTAAGCGCGTGATTAATTGGGGATTATTTTAAATGATGTTAATAGTGATTTATCTCATTCATTGTGTGTGTGTGTGTGTGTGTGTGTGTGTGTGTGTGTGTGTGTGGTGGGGGTGTTGTGTCATTACAAAGCAAAATAATACCCTGCAGAAGAAGGGACTGGATTTGGTTTGATGTCAGCAATCCATTAATAAAAACATTTCATAGAGAGGTGATTCCATTAGTAAATTGGATAGCATTAATGTACTTTTCTTCTCTTCAGTGCTGATGATAGAGATTAATGATAACATACGTAACATGGGTTTTTCCAGAGGCAGCTCCTGTCTCTGGACACTTAAGGCCTTTGATACTGCAGCCAGCTATTTAATAATGTAATGAAGTTCCACATATAGGTGGTTTGCGACACTCCTAGTGTCCGTGGGAGTATTGAATATGGTTTAAATAATACTTTTTAATCTCTCTAACTTTTGAAGTGCCTGATAATATCACAGTTTATGTATAAGACAAGATTATTGTAAGAAGTTACCTGTTGAAAAGTGGTTGGTTTTTCTACAACTTGCAGTGAGACGGCCATGATGCTTGGATTGTTACAAATTTAATTCAAGAGCTCTCTGTTTACTATCTGTGCTGTGCCAGATATGGTGCTAGACTTCATGGAAATTTTCACCAATGACAGTAGTTTGTAACTGTATTGTATAAAAACCATACATGTTTATATTAACCTTGCCACAATTATATATGTGGAATACTTTAAAGTAATTTCAATTGTATTTCAATTTTATATATTTTAAAGTTGAAGAACCAAGAATTGGCCTTTGTAGTTCATTCTGGTTTTGTCCAGGCAAAAAATTAGTTTAATAGAGCTGGGGTTAGCAAACTTTTTCTATAAAGCGCTACATAAATATTTTAGGCTTTGAGAGCCATGTGCTCCCTGTAGCAACTACTCAACTCTACTGTTGTAGGGAGAAAGCAGCCACAGACAATAAATAAATTAGGGTGACTGTGTTCAATAAACTTTATGCACATTAAAATTTGAATTTTACATGTAAAATTTTCACACTATGAAATATTTCTATTTTAATTTTTTTCAACCATTCAAGAGTGTAGAAAGCGTTCATTCTTAGTTCGTGGGCTGTACAATAAAAAGCTTTAGGCTGGTTTTAGCCCAAACACTGTAGTTTGCCTACCCTTGGTATAAAGTAACAGTGGCTCAAATAATCCCAGACCAGTAGATAAATAAGCGTTCGTTTTATACTTGGCTTTAGAATGTCTTGACGTCACTGTTGACTTTTTCAAACTGAGGACTGCGATAGAGTTGCCAGGTAAAATAGAGGACACTCAGTTAAATTTGAATTTCAGATGAATAATTATTTTTTAGTATATTATTACATTAAAAATTGTTATTTGTCTGAAATTCAGATTTAACTGGGTGTCTTGTATTTTTATTTGCTAAATCCAGCCATTCTAGACTGGAACACTAGGAATCTTAAAGTCTTAGGTACTGTAGGAACTTTAATTTTTTTTTCACTTTGATTAAAATAATTTTTTTAACCTATTACAAAGTTTCTCTTTTGTAGTGAGGACTCATAACTGAAACACTTTTATAAGATAAACAAGCTTCTTTAGTCAGTGTTTCTCAAACTAGTAGTCAGGGATGCTCCTTCAGGCCTGAGAGAATTTTTTTCTAAGGGGATCTCTATATTACTCAATTTTGAGAAATGCCCTGTAATGGTGATTTGGGATTTTAGGAGACTCCACTCCCCTAATCCAGTACAAAACTGTGCTATAAAAGCATCTGTCTCTCCTTCCTCACCCCCTCACATTCTCTCTTTAAACGGGAACGTTGTTAAACTTCTTTAATTGATTTGAATGATCAGCCGAGAGTAGAAAGGTGTATAGTACAGTGCGTTGTTTCAGCCAGTTTATTCAAGCAGTATTTACTGAGCACCTTCTATGTGTTAGACACTGTGCTAGGTGCTGAGATATAGCAATGAATAAGCATGAAGTTCCTGCTCTTAGTGGGGGATAGGCCTTTATTTATTTATATAAATATGTAATGTGGCATTTAGTGAGAAGACTAAGAAGAGAAAGAATGCAAGGTAAAGGGGCCAGAGTGCCCGGCAGATGCTATTTCCATTGCATTGACCAGGGAAGCAAAGAATCTAACGAAGGGAAGGAGTAAGCCATGTGGGTATCTGGGAATGGAGGTTCCAGGACAGCCTATGTGTTTACCCTCTGCAGGGAAGCTATTTTGACATTTAGGGTCCATGTTCTCCAACTGCTTATGGTGAACATGACAGCAAGTATCAAATAGTAGGTTATATGCTGAGTAATCCAGAATTGATTTTGGTAGCGTATGTTCTCCAAAGGTGTAAATAAACTGACCTCTGCATTTATTAGAGAAAACCTTTCACGTGCATGATAGGTTTTATTTGCTGAGATTCTAATTTCCCACACCAGCCTATACAAGAGCAGTTCATTGTGCATTGTGTTAACTTCTTTATCCTTTTATCATTAGTAGTGGTTTTGTTCGTTTATTTGTTTTGATTTTTTTTTTTTGCGGCATTTTTTAAACAATGAAATTGCATGCTGTTTCAAGAAAAGAAGCGTGGAATATTTCTGCTTCCTGAGCTTTTTTGACATTGGTTATTATACTTAGTAGCATTAAGATGATGAATTCACTCTGCTCGTTTTTACTTTAACAAAAAACAGGGAAGACTTGAAAGGATTAAGATAATATCTCATCTTGTATGGAAGCCTTTTTTCAAACAGATTAATAGATCTCAGATTACTTTAGTCTTGTTGGTTTATGGAATAGTAGTTTACATGGCAAGCGTATTTGTATCATTGTTAAAATTATTATAAAATTCCTCTTAATTCCATTGAAAGTCATCAGTACTCTTAGTCTGCAACTCTTCTTTCTTACCTTCAGGAAGGGTTTCTGCTGGGAGAGGTGAGACAAGAGGAAACGTTTAGCATCAGTGACTCACAAATTAGCAACACAGAATTTCTACAAGTAATTGGTAAGTTTATCACTGACCTTAGAAATGCTTTTTTGTATATATACTGTTTGTTTGTTTTTCGGCCCTTAACCAATTTTCATCTAAAGGATTAGAGTACATAGACAACCACTAAAATCACAATGCAAATTGTTTGCACTAAGACATGATCTGAAATGTTTGTATCAGTCATTGTAAACGTGCAGCGAATCGCGGTAGGTTTACGTATTCTATAAAGCTCTCCTTTATCCACTAATTCATGTGACTTTTACTGAATTGCTATGTGCTGTTGCACTTGATGGTCTCTTCAAAACCACTGTGAACCTCAAGGTTGCAAAGTAGGCTGTCCCCGTTGTCAGTGTCACCTCATACCGTACTGAAAGGATGTGTTACACTGCTGCTGCTTGGAGGGGTCTGGCAAAGATGGTCACTCTTGTTTACGTGAGATATTTGCTAAATCTGTACAGCCTTCTGAGGAGCAAACCGAATAGTCGATTTGGGGGAGATCATGAGGGAGACAAAGGACTGTCCACAGATGCGCTTACCCGCTTCGGATCAGCCTTCTTTTCATAAACAGGGGTCATAGTCCTTTCAGCCGCACGTCGAGCATGTCGCCAGGTAGCATATCCTGATTCTCAAAACACAGCGAGGGACATTCGTTTGTTTTTGCAGCCAGCAGTTATTGAAGTGGGAGGCATGTGCTAGGCAGTGCGGGGAGCATCCAGGTACAGCTCTGCCTTCCAGGAGTGCGGGGAGAATGAGACAGGTGCACACACAAACACCAGACTGTGCGTGATGAGTCTGTGAGGGAGGGACAAAGGAAGTCCAGGAGTCGAAATGAAAGTCCGCCAGTGGGTGAAACCAGTAAAGACATCATGAAGGAGGTGAGCTCAGGGCCAGTGGGCGGTGCATCTGGAGGAACACAGCAAGGAGCACATAAAACATCCCAGGGATCTGGCCTGTTTCTGTGACTGAAATACAGTTTATGTGACGGAGAGTGGCTTGAAATACTGCTGGAAGGTCAGGTCATGTTGGGGCCAAGTCATCACTTTCAAGTCTGTTCTGATAGCCTAGGACATGAATTGGGAGGCTAGGGTGAGGACTGAGGTGGGGCTAGGACTGGGAGGAAACGACCCAAACTGTAAAGCCCACTAGCACAATACCGACTTGTTAAATAAAGACTCGATACATAGGGTGCAGCTGTTCTCTCATCGAGGTGTTGTTTTGTTGTTGTTTTTGGGGGGGTTTTTTTGCTTAATTCTTTAAAATCTTAAAATAGAGAATTTGGTTTCATTGGACATCTGTGTAATTACTTATTGTTTGCAGTTAGGTTTTCAAAATTAATTTGATAGATGAAGGTTAAAATGCCAGATGTAGTTAACTGACAGCAAGCCGTCAAGAAAGAGCGCTCTTCTATGGCATGATCACAAAAATAGCATTTCTGATGAATATTCTAGCTATTTTTAAAGAAATACAATGCTAAAGTAATTCCAATTTTACAGCATACTGTACTGATTCTTTGATTCGTAAACCTTTTGGTTCTTGCAGTAAATGCTAGTTTCCGTGTATTGTAGATATGAAGAAGTACTAATCAATAGAATTCCAGTTAATACAGTGCCACAACAACCACCTTTTGCTGTGCAACCTTTAATTCATTAGCTACATTCAGTTCATTGTTTGAAAGGATTATGGATCTTATGGTCAAAGTGTTTACTAGGATTGTCTTAAGTATATTTGTTATTGTAATATTTTTATTTTAAAAATAAATACATATCATGGATTAAAGACTTAAATGCAAGACCTAAAACCATAAAAATCCTAGAAGTAAACATAGTAAACTCTTTGACATCGCTTTTAGGAATATCTTTTTGGATATGTCTCCTCGGGCAAGGGCAACAAAAGAAAAAATTAACAAATGGGACTGTATTAAACTAGAAAGTTTTTGAACAGCAAAGGAAACCATCAGCAAAATGAAAAGCAACCTGTTGCATGGGAGAGGTATTTGCTAATGATATATCTGATGAAGGGTTAATACCCACAGTGCATAAAGGATTCATAACAACTCAACATCAAAAAAACCAACAATCCAATTAAATGAGCAAAGGACTTGAATAGACATGTCCCCAAAGTAGACATGCAGATGGCCAACAGACATATGGAAAGGTGCTTAACATTACTAATTATCAGGAAAATGCAAATCAGAACCACATGAGATATCACCTCACACCTGTCAGAATGGCTATCCTGAACAAGCAAACAGCAAACAGCAGTGTTGGCAAAGATGTGGAGAAAAGAGAACCCTCGTGCACTGTTGGTGGGATTGCAGATTGGTGCAGCCACTATGGAAAACAGTACAGAGATTCCTCAGAAAATTAAAAATAGAATTACCTTAGGATCCAGCAATTACATTTCTGGTTATTTATCTAAGAAAAATGAAAACACTAAATCGGAAAGATATATGCACCCCTATGGTGATTGCAGCATTGTTTGGAACAGCCAAGATATGGAAGCAACCTAAGTGTCCATCAGTAGATGAATAATAGAAGGGTGTGTGTGTGTGTGTGTGTGTGTGTGTGTGTGTGAAGGAATATTACTTGGCCATAAAAAAGGAATGAAATGTCATTTGCAACAACATGGGTGGACCTAGAGAGTATTAAGTGGAATAAGTTGGACAGAAAGAGACAAATACTGTATGGTTTCACTTACATGTAGAATATTTTTCGAAAATGAACAAACAAAATGAAACAAATAGACTCATTGTTGTTTGATGGTTGCCAGGGAGTGAAGGGGTAGAGAAGATGGGCAGAAAAGGGGAAGGAATTAAGTATAAGCTTCCAGTTATAAAATGAGTCGTGAGGTTGTAATATACAGCATAGGGAATAGAGTCAATATTGTAATGACTATACACTGACAGATGGCTACTAGACTTATTATGGTGGTCACTTCGTAAGGTTTATAATAAATGTTGAATCTGTGTTGTACACCTGAAACTAATATAATGTGTGTCAACTATAGTTAAAAAATAAATAAATCCATATTAGAAAATGTAAACCAAGGACTCTGAAAAACCTGGATTAAAAGGCCAAACATAAGGCGAAGTGCCAGATGTAGTGTGAAGAAACTCTCTGGCCTAGCTTAAGCTCCAGAATAAGATGTTTTAGATTAAACTGACCAAATTTATTATTTATTGAGGATGTCTGACTCCATGCACAGACAGCTTTACCTGACTCTATACAATAGGGGGACTTTATAGAGAATATCACATTCCGAACATGAAGTATCTGTGTCTTGTTTTGCGTACATATCAATTGTAAAAGCTGTGCTAACTCACTTGAAGCAGAGCCATCCGTCCTCTGCTCTAGGGAGGAGATGCTAGAAGGATCCTGGGTTAATGAGATGATGTAGCGGCAGTTACTGGAAAGGAGGGAAGGGGGAGGAGAGGAACCGCTCAACTCACCCAGCGGGAGAAGCATGGAGAGAGATGAGCAAGACCAGCAGTTCCTCCCAGTGGGGAGCTGTAAGGAGTGTGTGCAGAGACCCTGGATGTACACATGAAGAAGATTCGACCGCGTGCTTGAGCGGTGGAGGCGTGGGCAACTCCAGGACTGCAGACGGGGCTGCCCTGCCTCTACCTGCTCCCAAAGGTCCACCTGTCAGCTGACGTGCCCGCCAACTTCATTCCCATCTGCAGCTTTGTCATGTTAGAGAACGTCACCCTGTTTTCTCCATGGAGTCCTTAGTTAGATATTGCAAAAAATCTCATATGAAAAAGCTTTAACTTCTTTAGGAAATACCGCATGATGTCTAGAGCGTATCTGTGGTATGCTTCTAATCCAGGTTGTAAATCATGAAAGAAGTTTGCTGGGGCGGCTTGATGACGGGAGGTGTATTCAGAGTTCAGAATTTACTCTAGAGATTTTGTTAAGCAATATATTCTTTTCTTTAAAGTAGAGATGTGTTTTTTCTTTTCCCTGAACTCTAGGTAATGTTTTTGCTACATTCTAATTACTAAAATACCTCCTAAATAACTTATGAAGGAATACTGTATCATTTTTGGTGATAAAAGAAGGAACTGTTTCTAGATGAGGTTTTATTTGTATCACTATGTCAACAGCTGTGCCAGGCAAATGAACTTTTCTTTCCTGTGGAAGTATTGCATCTGTGCCCGTGTTTTGGCAGCATTAATAGCAGTACAGATGCTAATTGGCCCATGCCTTTTAGGGTTTTGGTTTCATTTTAATTGAGTTAAAATTGTAGCCTGTAACTCTGGGCTGTGACACTTTAAACAGCAGGTAATGAGTTGCTGTCCAGGAGAATGTTATTAATAGAACTGAATGGCTAATTAGTCTCATGGTCTTATAATGCGACCCAGACCCTAAGCCCCCTGACGAGCTTGAAGAAATTGTTCACTCTGGTTAATCACCAAGTGCAATCTTTTCAGAAACGGTTAGGATCTACTTTATAAATAATGGTTTCCCTCGATGCTGGCCATCTTCGAAAGGGTTAATAGACTTTCAGAGTTGCCTTCTTTCCCCTTCAAACCACCTGGCCCAAGTTGTCATGAGTCGTTAGTAGGTTATTGATGTCAGGGTGGTTAGGGCCCTCTCCCCAAGCTGTCCTCACAGCTTTTATCCACCTTGATTAAATGCTTCCAGCCAGTGGTTACTTTTTCCTCTTACACTTTGTTTAAATAGGTAGGATTGATAAGGGCACACAATAGCTACATGTTCCTGAATAAAAGCTTTCAGATGTGGGCTCACCAGACAAGGACAGATGGAAATAGGACTCTTGTTCTCCAGTTTACTTTGTTCTGAGAATGTGTCCCTGAGTCGAAGTGTGAAGAAGGCACACTGCCTTCGTGTGTACACAGCACCTACTCGGGAGAGGAAAACTATCTTTTATGATCTAAGATTTTGATAAAAAAATAAAAAATAAAAATAATAAAATCCTGGGCTATTTTATAGTTGCTTGTATTTCGCGTGGTTAACTAAGATGTATTTTCTCTTATTACAGAAATCCATAACCATCAGCCTTGTTCAAAACTTTTTAGGTAAGCCACATCCTTCTTTGTAGCTTTTAGTTATTAAAAGATTAATTGATTGAAAACTAGTGAATTTAGGCCTGTAGCTGATTGTGGCTTAAAGGGGCATCCAAAATCACTTCTTTATTGAGGGCCTGTGTGCATGTGGCACTGTTAGGGTGGGAGCAGGGGAGGTGTGAGTCCCCGATACTTGCGGCCGAGTAGACATCTCGGCCACGGTGATTTGGATTGGAAGCCTTCCCACTAGCCTCCCTAGCAAGGGCTCTTCAACCACAGGGAAGGAAGGGTCACATGGAGAGGCAATAGTTTAAGGGTGTTTCTTAAGAGGAATTATAAATGTTCAGTATTCAGCTTTAAAATGTAAGGAAAGAGAACGTAAAACTTTCTTTTTGTGTTTAAGTTAATATACACCAGTTGCTTATTATGACCAGCTAAAGGACAGAAAGAAAAAAATGGGAGGAGAGACATTCAGAAGGGAGAAAGCAAATGACAGAGACACGTGGAGATATGGAGGTGAGAGAGAAAAAGGCCACTATTTCCACCACCCAGGCCTTCGCCTTCCGTCTTAGCTCCAGACCTCTCCAAACCCTTTACCTTGTGGCTGGTGTGACGATGTTAGCTCTGTGTGTCTTGAAACCCGCTGAGGCCCTGTTCTGCCCTCCCAGAAGCCAGACCAGTACTTTCCTTGCAGTGCTGCCCACACCGGTTCGAGTCAGCGTTCCTGGTCAGCACTTCCTTCTTGAAACACCTGCCAGCTCCTCGCTCCTGGCTGTCCCTGCTGTGTGTTCCCTGCAGTTTTCACCTTGACCACTCTCCCCTTCTCAGCTGGCGCAAACACCCAGCCTCCTGCACCCAAGAGCTGCCGGGGACTTGTATCATATTCACTACCCTCCCCGACACACACACACCACTAGCCTCTGATTATTGCAGAGGATTGTCATCATGGAAGATGACTACCTGTGGATAAGGCCTCAAAGTAGCCAAGAACCTCATCTCTTTTAGATTTACACAGAACCGAAAGAAGAATGGGAAGACAAACAACCAGCAGTTCATTTGGGGAGACCCTCAAGAGCACGTGAAATAATTCAGGCCCCAGTCCTCACAGTGCCTCTCTCTGGTCCATTAAAGTGTCCGATTTGGCCCTCACTGTCCAGAGCTTTGCCAAGTGTCCTTGCCTTGCCCTTCTGAGGAATTCTATAAAACACTGTCAGCAAAGTCATATCAGAAAAAGAATTTAAGTTTAAATCATAGGCTGGTAATTCTTAGAGCTAAAAGAAACCTTAGAAATCATCTGTCTACTCCAAACTCTTTATTTTGCAAAAAAAGACATGTAGGCCAGACAGGTTAAGTGACTTGCTCATGGTCATACAGTGAGAGCTGGAGCTGGTATCTCCTGACTCCTGGTTCAGTGTTTTTATTGTATCCTGAACTCCTTCCTGCCTCATAAAGCCTGGGCTTGTGATGGCGAGGAGGGGAGGAAGGGTGGCATTCCTAAAATCGTGACCACACGTCATTATGCCTGGACTGCTCACCACCGGATCCTGGTTAGGTTGGTCTGTTTTAGGGCTGAGTGCTTTCAGTTTGAAGCTGGCCAGACCTGGCTTCAAACCTGCCTCTTTTATCTACCAGCTCTGTGATTTGGGGAAGCCGCTTAACTTTAGTGTCTTTACCTACAAAAATGGAAATCAAACTGGTTGACTTTTTGGGCTGAACTATTACCTCCTGCACTGAGGCAAGAATGAAGTGAAGTCACGTGACAAAACATGCCCCTGAGTTTTTTGTTAGGTATTCAACAAATATTCATCTCCCTTCATCATCTCTCAGAAAATGAGTTCCTGTGTTCTATTTTTTCATAAGTAATTCATACTTAGAAACAAGGAAAAGATGTCACAGGTGTTTGAAACTACGTATTTTATAATTACTTGCTATCAGCACCTAATACCCTTTGAATGTAACAGTCTCTTGAGTATTCTTTGATGCCAAAGATGCCTTACATCAGTAAAGCATTTAGATTGATTTCTCTTTATATACCTATTAAAATAAACAATTATACCTTTACTACCAATTTTTGGGGTTAGATGACCCATAGACACATGTAGCTAAGCATATCCATGTCACAATACCATGTAATTTTAATACAATTTTTTCTCTTTAACAAAACAGTTTTTATGACTATGCAAGCAAAGTTAATGAAGAGAGTTTGGACAGGATTCTTAAGGATCGGAGAAAGGTATGTTCTGTTTATTGCCCATTCTGATCTGAAATTGCTCCTTATCTCATCGCCCAAGCTTAAAACCAGAAAGGAATATAAATGGAACAATGTGATTCTTTGTTAATATATGAGAGTTCTGTTACCTTGAGTAGATTCTAAAGGGAAATTGCAGGTGTGAGACAAGATTTACAATATAGCAATAGAAAAAAATTAGATATTTATAATATTCCATTACGTAAAAATCAGAAGAAAAAAATGAACTAACACAAAAATTAACAATAGTTGAATTGACTCTGGGTGGTTCTACTTTGTGATTTTAAAAACAATTTTGTAAATATTTAATACATATGCATTAATTTAACAATTTTTACTTCAGTACGTAAATTCCAGAAAAATAGATCGGTCATCAAACCATCACTTGAGGAAAAAAAGTACCAATAAAAGTTTTCAGCTTTTCAAACAGAAAACAAAATGCCTTTGTTTAGAAGCAAGTATCGTAAAACTGCTTTTACAAGATTACCTGTGGATGAAAACGAGCGTGGCAGTGTGAGACGCGGTCCCTAAAGTGTCTGCGGAGGGGCCTCGGGGTTAGAGTGCAGCGTTCGGGACCATCTCACTCTCATACCTCTGTCGGATGGAAAGGCAGAGAGAAAAGCGGGTAGGATGACAGGAAGAATGGGCAGTGTGGGGCGTAGGTCGGAAGAAAGGACAGAAGGCTGTGTGTGTTTTAACAAACTCAGGAGGTTCTCCGCGTGGCAAGGTCAGACCAGCTGCCCACCTCCGTCCCCTCCTGGGAGCTAGAGCAGCCGCGAGCATCGTGGGCCAGCTCTTATGTTTCAGCGACTTGCCCAGAACCATTCGTTCTGGGATTTCTGAACAGTCTATCCTTCCTCTCCCGGTGACCGCCATCTTCCTCTTCCCATTTATTTTCACGTTTTAGGTAATGAATCTTTATTGTACTTTCTTAAATTAAAATTTGTTGCATGAAAATTCTTATTGGAGCACAGTTTTCTAGAGGACTCACTACACACAGTTTTCTAGAGGACTCACTTCATAGTAAAAGTACCAGAAAGCATTTTTTTTTTAAATAGATTAAAAACCTTAAAGTGAAAAAAATGAGTAAAGACTATCAAGGGGAAATTCTCTCTCTCACACACATCCACAAATGGCGAAGAAATAAATGAAAAGATGTTTAACTTCCATCAGGAAAGGCAGAGTGAAACGATGTGACGCTATATTTTTGCCCATTAGATTGGCAAAGTGTACTTGGATTGCCGACATCTGGTGTTGGCCAGGCTGTGGGAAGTGGTTGGTGAGATGTAAGTCGGTGCAGACATTTAGGAGAAGAGTTTTGCTATATCAGAATTTTAAATATGCAGTGCCACCTCTAGGAATCAGGCCCAAAGAAATAATAATGACATCTGGGCACAAAGATATGAAAAACTGGCATTATTGGCCACTTCAGCTCTGTGCCAGGCTGTGTTCTAAGCATTTTCCAGGTAGTGACACATTTAATCCTTGCAACAGCTCTGAAGTAAACATTGCTGGTACTGTTGCACATTTTACAGTTGAGGCAGCTCACGTTAAGTAACTTGCTTAAGGCCACCAGCAAGTAACGGTGGAGTCAAGGCTTAAACCCAGCAGTCTGACCTCTTAATCCAGTGTACAGGGATATTTGTTGCAACTTTGCTTAATAGTGAGAGTCTTGAAACCAATCTAAGTGTCCACCAGTGGGGAATGAGTAAGTACATTATGCCGTTACCTCCATACTATGAGAAATGAAGCAGCCACTAAAAGGAATGAGAGAGGTCCTCGTATCATGACATAGTGATCTCTAATGTTGAATGAAAAAACGAAGTATTATAATGTGGGCCTATTTTATGTAAAAAGAAAAGTCTGATTGAGTGTTTAAATATATAGAAAAAGAGCTGGAAGGAAGTCAACCAAACAAAAGTGGATGCTTTGGGAAAGGGCATGCTGCTGATGAAGGGAGACTCGATTTGGTGGGTTTTTTTTTCAATTATATTTTATAATTGAAAAGAAATGGAGAAAAAGACTCCACTACGTTAACTACTGTGTAGTTTTTTTCAGTAGTAGATAGGAATACATCTCCGAATTAATTTGAGGATTTAAAATTAGATTTGTTTTGCTGACACAGGAGACATAGGAGACCAATCGTAGGTTGTTATCTGGAGTTAACTTTGCTTTTCCTGGGGTAAAGATTCTCAAAAAAGTTAAAAGTTGGTATGCAGTTTTGATTTTATAGGATTCTGTGCTAAAACAAATGTTTATATTTTCCTTTGCAATTAAAAGTATGAAGTTTTTGTTTTAATTTACTTGGAAATTATGTTTTATTTTCCATGGTATTCGTTAAGAATAGGAACTATATTTTATATTTCAATATCTTTCCTTTGGCAACTTATACATAACATAAACTCTTTGAGGATTTTTTCCCAGAAATCTAAATTTCCAGTACAAAAGCAAAGATGATGTATAATCTTTAGATGACTGAAAAGCATTATAGTTGATTCTAGTTTGGGTTTTTTCCCCCAGAAAAGGTACAAAATTGTGTCTTTACCTCAAAAGGATTATTGTACTACCTACGAAGGTGCATTTGAAATGTTAGACTTAAAAATACATGTGTACTTCAAACAGTACCTGGCATACAGAAAATATTTTAATTATTATCAACTCTTGAGAAAGTAATGATGGGAACTTTTCAAAGATTAATTCTTTGCTAGGCAGGCTTCAAATCTAATGTTTAATTGAAAATTGTAAGAATTGAATGAAAACTTAATAAGTTGAACTCATATAAAATAAATAGTAATTTAAAAAGTTCTCTGAGTCCTACAGTTATCCATTAGAAAACATAAGCTAATGAAGATTTTTGTCACAATAGCATCTAGTACATAAAATATAAAGAAATAGCTTTACTAAAAAAGTATGACTCTCAAATATAACATTGCTAAAACATTTTTTAAAATATACGTTAGGTTTAAAATAGAGGCTAATGTTTTCGATATGAAAATCCCCCAGTAGGTACAATGTGGCTGCTTGCTGAATTACTGCTTTGGCAGAATCCATATTGTGTTTAGAAATTGACACAGCCTCGGGTTTGGGGCTAAGGCCAAAAAAGCAAGTGAGAGGAGGATTTACACCTTCTGGAAGCATCTGCTGTGAAATAGATAATGGTAAACAGAACTGCCACCGTAATTTTATCGTAAGGCCAAAAAGAACACAACCTAAAAATGACGAACGTACCCAGTATTGGGGAACATTGCTTTGGCTCCAGAAAATGTAAGTGAATGCTTAGCATAGAGAACAGGGAGGAACATCTTTGTGAAAAATTATCTGAAACTTCAGCAGAGATGAGGTTTTAGGGGAAGATATCCATAATTTTCATCATGGCCCAAGCATAGCTATCAAAAATGTGCTTTTTAGCATCAGTGACCTAGTTTTTAGTAGCTTTACAACTAGCTCATTAGCTCTAAAAATCTAAAAGGTAGACTCATAGGTGTCACAAATGGGATCAGAATGATGGGGGCAAATTTCCTCTTTAGCAAATATCAAATGAATAAGGTGATTACTATCAGTTGATATCTAAAATAAATTTATAAGCCTCCTTGCTTCTTAGAAGATACAATGGAATAAAACAATTGAAATCAGCATACGTGAAAAGCATCCAGTAGCCACTTGCAAGAGTCTGTTAGCGTGTGTTTCATGACAATGGCCAGTGTGCGGAGCACTGCTCAGCCTTCGCAGGGACACAGACGGGGTACGGGACACAGACGGGGTACAGGACACAGACGGGGTACGAGACACAGACGGGGTACGGGACAGGCCCCTGCTACGGAGGTGCTCCCTCCCATGTCAAGCGCAGAGTCTTGAGACGTCACATTTAACACGTTGTGTTCTCAGACACCAGGAGCTCTAGCCAGTTGATAGTTTTTCTTATCCATTTCTTTTTTGAGGAAAACTATTTCTCACTTTTTATGACCACCATTTTGTGACTAATGTGGAATTTGTTTTACAGTGGAAAAAAGCGGGCTCCATATTTTGGCCGTCACTCATTAGCTTTGTGACTTTGGACAAAACATCCCTTTTATAGGATTTATAGTGTCAGTAATGTTTGGGTTTTCTTTTTATTTAAAGAATATCAGAATTAATTGTTTTGCTACAGTTGGAAGTCACGCTTTATGTTCAGGCGTACCCCTTGAGGGCAGGCACTCTTTCTTCCTTGTAGTTCCTTGCAGTGAAACGAACTCAGTGGAGAAAACGCTGCTCACATCCCAGGGTGTCACGATAATCAGTGAAAACAACGTAACGCTGTTAGCTGGGGGCCGGGCACAGGGACTCCCTTCCTTCCTACGTGAAGGTGCCAAAACATAATCTGAATCTACTGGTAATTTTAACAGTTTAACAATTTTATCACTAACAATTTTAAACTACCTTCACTTCTTAAAACAGGACTTTCACTGAAAGAGTTTATTTCAAAGAAAGAAGCTATATGGTTATTCTTCTAATAAAGAATCATCTCTACACGGAGATTTGCAAATTTTAGTATGTGCAAGAAAAAACTCAAGGGACTTATCTTTAAAGTCCTGGCTCTACCTTTAGAAGTTCTGATTCTGCAGGTTCAGGTGGGGCCAGGAGCATCTTAGCAAGCTTCCAGATGTCCCTTAGGCCATCTGTCATCCAGATGTCTAGCAGACCACATTATGAGAACTATTCTTCCAGAAAACATATCAGTTTAGTTCACTCAGCCAACTTAGGTAACCTGTAGTTAGGACTGATGAAGCTAAACTATAAAAATCGTATTTTTTGAGGTATAATTGCCACACAGTAGACTGCAGATTTATAGTGTACACTTTGATAAGTTTTGATGTACCTATACCCCCATGAAACCATCATCATCGTCATCATAAGATAATGACCCTGTCTGTCACTGCAAAGTCTCCTGTCCCTTTTTCTAAATCCCTCCTTCTCACCCCTCCCTGGTTAACCACTGATTTGCTTTTTGTCACTATAGCTTAGTTTCCATTTTCTAGAATTTTACATAAATAGAATCTTCTGCACATCACTTTGTTTTTTGGTCTGGTCTCTTTCACTCAGCATAATTATTCTGAAATTCATCTGCATTGTTGTTTATCCCTTTTTATTACTGAGAAGGAGTCCAGTGTGTGGCCCACCACAGCTTGTTTACTCATTTGCCTGTTGACGGACATTTGGGTTGTTCTCAGTTGTGAGCTATTGCACATAAGCTGCCATGAACAGTTGTGTACCCGTGTTTGTATAAATACCTTCAGAACGAAGTTTGTAAGATTTCATGCAACTTTTAATACTTTTTTCCTTTAGAAAGTTATTGGGTGGTACAGATTCCGGCGAAACACGCAGCAGCAGATGTCGTACAGAGAGCAGGTCCTCCATAAGCAGCTCACCCGCATTCTGGGGGTGCCTGACCTCGTCTTCCTTCTCTTCAGCTTCATCTCCACCGCCAACAATTCCACTCATGCTTTAGAATACGTTCTCTTTAGACCAAATCGAAGGTAAAGAAAGCATTGCCACCAGCCTCACATAAACAGGAAAGATGTTGGTAAAAGTAGTTGAGATATATGACTTTGAAAATGTGTTCCGTCTACGGCCATGCCACCCTGAACAAGTCAGATCTCGTCTGATCTCGGAAGCTAAGCAGGGTTGGGCCTGGTTAGTACTTGGATGAGAGGCCACCTAGGAAGACCAGATGCTGTAGTGTAAAAAATAAAAAATAAGAGATTGTAAGCTGACAAGGTCCTTGCAATCTGTGAGGTCAAGCAAGAGTGCCTTGCCTAAAAAAAAAAAAAAAAAAGAAAAAAAATGTGTTTCATAACCTCTTTAAAGAAAAGCTTTTATAATTCTCTTTTAGCTAGTTTTCTTTGTAGTTAGGGAAGGTATTTTCCTGTCAGTTAGTTGAATAAATTAAAATTGTTTTTGAATCAAGAAGCATTAGCCAAGACATCTTAATTATACATAAATTCTTACAGGAAATAAACAGTTGGGAATCATCATTTGCTTCACCATAATCCGTTATGGAGAAATACAGTTTTATTGCTCTAGAAGTCTGATTGTAATTTTAAAACAGATTTCAAAGACAAAATTGTAAAATTGATCCACCTACTGGTTAATTAGGGTTTTGCATTGTGAACTTGTTAAAGCAAAAAAAAAAAAAAAAAAAACCTGTGATTGTGGTAAACAACAGAAAGGTCTCCCTCCGGACGTTCACTTGCAGTGGAATAAATTAAATTGACATTCGTGAAAGTCCCTATTCATTGTTAAATAGCCATTTGCAAGATTTTGTTAATTAATCAGTAGGTATTGAGCACTTACAACTGTCTTAGTACTCAGCCACTGTAGGGTGCAGAAGGTGTATAAGACATGGCCTCTGCCATCAAAGAGTTTACAGTCGAGTTTCTACTTTAAGGAAAGGGCAAAAAGCTGCTAATTCCTGCGTCCCTGGGTTGTCTGTGGAAGTAGGTGCTCCGTGCGGCCTTCTGTTAGTTCACCAGTGCAGACTCGGCCTCCTGTGGCCAAGACTCGTCCTCAGGCAGAGCAGTGCCGTTAACGTGATCCCTTCAATCTTCCCCGCAGGTTTAATCAAAGGATATCCCTTGCTATTCCCAACCTAGGCAATACCAGCCAGCAAGAGTATAAAATGTCTTCAGTGCCAAATACTTCTCAGAGTTATGCCAAAGTTATTAAAGAGCATGGGTAAGTGGCAAGGTAAAATCAAAAGTTTTTGTCATTAATATTTGAAAGGTTTATGGAGAAATGTGAAGTTTAGTATGACTGACCTTGAAAAATGTAGTGAGATAATTCCCTAGACCATCACTATATGTCAGAATTTTATTCTTATTGAAAACATAGTTTACTTTAACATTACTTTTTTTTTTTATCATTTGCCACAATTTTTTTTGTAATTGATATGAAAGTTTGGATAGAGTATGTGTATTTCTGAGGTTCTAATAGTTAACTGGAAAATAGATAGCTTTTTATTGTTTTTGCCGTCTTAGTCACATGGGTTCTCTTTTATCTCTCTTTTATAATTCTAGTGGTGTGGGCGTCATTGTTGAGACATTGTCACCTTGGAATTGCAGCATTTAAGTATTAGGTGAAGGTAGAAGTAATAGGAAACTGACTTTCAGATTTATAGCAGTTCTGATAACTGTGACTTTTTTCTTCTGTCTTTTAGTACTGACTTTTTTGACAAGGATGGAGTAATGAAAGACATCAGAGCCATTTATCAGGTTTATAATGCACTTCAGGAGAAAGTGCAGGTAACTAATTTATTTCCTAGTTTTCATCTTATTTGTATTGCCCAAATGCTTTTAATTCTACGTTAATTTTTAATAATCTCCCAACTGACAAATGAATTGTGGTCCACAAGTCAGAATGTACTTTCCCAAAGTAATATCAGATGTGTAGAATAGTTATTCATGGCATCCTGCAAAAGCCTGTCTCATTTTGTGCCTGAAGTACAGTATTAACATTACTATCCTAAGTACTTGTGACCCCATTTATAGCAGTGTTTTTTCTAGGGAAATGTATCCGAGTTTAAAGAAGTGTTGCTAAGAACACAGCTATCTCAGCTGTCTGCTAAGTAGAGACTCCATCAAAAGGCAGCCAACCCCGGCAGCCCTGCTTCCTGCCTTCCAGTGCCCTCACTTTACCCCCGGGGCCTCCATCGACGGGGAGGATCCCAGCGGAGCCCGCTCATTCTTCGTCATTCACGCAGCAAATATTTATGGAAGCATCTCCTACAAGCCAGACACTGAGCTAGGTGCTAACAGTACTTTCCCACATTATTTTCATCATCCCTGATGCATTCTTAGGAGTAATTTGCTCTAAAACCCTAAGAACAAAAGAGGCTTTGAGGACAAGGAGGAACGTGGTGGAGCTGAAGAAGCCCTCCCGGGCCTGGAGGAAGCTTCGCTTTGAGGAAGAAGGCCCCGAGGAGTAGAGGGAAGAGTGAAGGCAGCCACTGAGAAAGAGGAAAGTAGCCTGCGGTCAGGCTGGGGCAAAAGAAGAAAGCGTCCGACAGGCAATTTCCAGTGTCAGTGTCCAAATTAGGGTCATGGTATGCGTAGCACTATCGGGAACTTTATTCAGGCTCACTGGTGACTGGCCTGCTTCTGGAGGTTTCTGGTATTTCTCCTATGGAAGGAATGTGCGGTGAAATACAGCTTTTTGTCCTGAATTCCTGACCATGCTCTTTTTAGACTATCAGCACTGTCCATCGGGCTTCTAAGTGGCCATTACACATTTCACTACCAATTGAATCAGGCCTGCTCTCAAAACACCATCACGTAGAGTGCCTGATACACGTGGTTAGAGTACACAGACGTAATCTCAAATACTTATCTTTTATTAAAGCTTGACACTAAGACTTTCTTTTTCATCTCTCCCTAATTATTGATATTTTCTGTGAATTAATCTCTTTGTGTCATTTGAGTCGTGATTTCTGGTTATAAATTAAACTCGAAAGCATCTCATTCCTGTCTTTTGTTTGTCCTCTGTATGTTAGACTGGTATCAAAAATTCTCTTCATTTCAATAAAAATGAATAACCCAGGGAAAATACAAATCTTTCCCATCGTATACTTATTTTTCAGGAATCCATAAGCTAAATAGCATAATTATCTTAACAAAATTAAGAAAGCAAGCCAGAGAATAAGAACAGTACTGGTCTGTTGGACCTTCGTAGCTTTGTTCTACCTGACATGCCTGCTTTTTTAACTCGATAATGTAATCAGTGCTGTAGTTATGGAATGCCTGCTGCTTGGGTTCGAAACTGATTGTTCTTGTTGTCGTTTTTTCCTCAGGCAGTGTGTGCAGATGTAGAAAAGAGTGAGCGTGTTGTTGAATCTTGTCAGGCAGAAGTGAACAAATTAAGAAGACAAATCACTCAGAGGAAAAATGAAAAGGAACAAGAAAGAAGTGAGTTTCTTATTAATTTCACCATTCAGTATCAGAGAAATGTCTGGTTTTAAACATCAGATTATACAGTGAGTTACATGAACCCTTCTGTGCTCATTGAGCCTCAAGTTAGGCCATTTGAGATCAGCATCCGCTGGTCTTCCAGCTTCCAGAAAAGAAGTACTGTTTCATGGTATCCTTCTCAAGTCTCTGAAACTGGAAGAAAAAGACCAACAGTAGAAAGGCTGAAGCAAGTTGGAAGAAATCTTAGGACGCGATTGATGCAGACCGGTGCCTGTGTCAATTGCCGGGATCTATTTGCAGTGCATGTGATGTTTCTCACGGAGTCACCTCTGGCCCACCTTGCACGTAGGGCTGGGGCCTGTGTTCACACAGCCACGTAAAGGCACCACTTAAAATGGTTTTAACTTTATATTTGATGCATAGCCAGGGTCACAACAAAGGCTTTAAATGTCTATTTATTGGTAGCTGTGAAGGAATGGATGCCATTAAGGTAAGGAACCAGCTGGTTGAATGAGAATTAGGCCCAAAAATCTGTTAATTCCAGCATGGCAACAGGCATGTTTGCTATAATGCCACCAGATTTAACATTCATAAGTAAAATTTATAAAATGTATGGCACATGATATCAAGTGTAAAAGAGAGAAAGGTGTGGCAAAGCTTTTCTAAATTAATAAGAATACTTGCAGATCAATTTAAATGTAATTTATATTCCAGGTAAGTGACATCTTGTTCATTTCTACTGTTATAGTTTTCTAGAAATAAAAAGAAATGCAGACAGAGATTTATGCACAGGAATGTTAATCACAACTTTATAATTCTAAAATCTTGGAAAGAACTTATTAGAATAGTTGAATAAACAACAACAGAATAGTTGAATACATTTTGGTATATCTATGTGGTGGCATATCGTACAGCCATCGAAGTGACTTTCTAATGACATGAGATAAAGCCCAACGTATAATCTTAAATGAAAACCCTAAGATATAAAACATGATCTCAGCTATGTTTTAAAACCATAAGTGTGTGTATATATACACACACACATACATGCACACGCACACACACACAAAACATACAAGGTTGGATAATAAAAAGTGGAGTTCCAGAAAGAAGTGGGGGCCCGATACCTAAGGTTTATGTTTTTTTTTTTAACCCCAAATCTTATGCTCTTTTCACGAAAATTCTGTTATCGGGGTGATAGAGTTATTGGCTATTTTGATTTTTTTAATTCTTTTCTAAGTTTTATAAGAGTATGTAAATGTACTTCAAAAAACTTAGAGGCTGTAGACTCATAGATATGGGGCTGCTTCAGAGCATTTATAAAAACATGGTGAAATTATGGCCTAGTACCTGGAAAAACTGGCCACCTGACAGAGGGCTCCTAAACTTTTAAGGAGAAAGAGGTGTATCCATGTATTGTGACAGGTAGTTGTAAAGAATTACGTTTTTCAACATGATGTTTGTCAAGGTAACACCCCACGTTCCAGTGGCTGCCGAGGGCCGTGAGGAATGTTTATTTCACCCTTCCGTCCTCACCGTATTTGAGCACAGTCAGCAGCCAGTGAGGGAAATACCGCAAGATTTGGAGTTAAAAGACTTGCACTTTGAGTATCAGGCCCCCCTCTAGCCATTCCCTTCCTGAAGTCACTTAATCTGTTGGAACTCTGATTTCTTTGCCTACGTAATGGAAACAATAATTAATGACAATAATACTTCCGGAGGCTGTTTTGAGGCTTAAATGAATTAACTATAGAAAAATATTTTGTAAATTATGAAGTACTCCGCAAATGTAAAGCAATTAGTAGTCATAATCAGTTTCACCGCTTTGTTGCTATTTTCCAGAATATTCAGATTGACTGTTTAATGCATTGAGATGCATGGCAGGAAAAATATAGGGAGTGTTTCAGTTTTCTTCTTTTTTTCACCAGGATCGCAGCAGGTGATGATAAGCAGACAGGTGCCAACCGAAAGTCTGGAGCCAGTGTTCAGTCCTCGGATGCCCTATTCTGGGTTTGCAGCTGAAGGTAGAAGTACACTTGGAGATGCAGAAGCCTCTGACCCTCCTCCCCCTTATTCCGATTTTCACCCAAACAATCAAGAAAGTACTTTGAGCCATTCTCGCATGGAAACTAGTGTCTTTATGCCTCGACCTCAAGCCGTGGGCTCTTCCAATTATGCTTCCAGCAGTGCCGGACTGAAGTACCCTGGGAGTGGAGCAGCCCTCCCTCCTTCCCAAAGAGCAGCTGGAGACAGCGCGGAGGGGTCCGACGACAGTGATTATGAAAATCTGATCGACCCCGCAGAGCCCACTCACAGCGAATACTCACATTCAAGGGATTCTCGGCCCGTGACACATCCCGACGGGGGCTCCAGGAACACTCAGACCTCTCAGATCTAATGGAAGGAACTCTCCGCTTAGCCCTGTTTTCTTAATGGCTTATTGAGAGAGTTTTTTGAGGACTTCTTCTCGGGGGAGAACTGCTTTCTTGGACCCCTGGGCTCCTAGGAGAGTCCTTGGGCACAGAACTTGTAGGGGCCTTGCACCCATGGGCCTCACCTGCGGACGCGGTGGGCAGGTGTCACGACAAAATCATTAAGATAATCAAATTGTCCTAATTCTGGTGCGATTCATGGATGTACTGGTAAATTTAGGCAAAGTGAAACTTAATCAAAGTAGTTTCTGTTCTTTAAAATAAATTGGAAATTAGAGACTAAGCACAATTAGTCTATAAATGTTCTATAAATCAAAAACTTACCTCTTGCACTATCATGCCTTGAAATTTACTTTTTCAAAGGGAAACAAGTTTAGGAGCAGCCTTCAAAGAACCTTCTTTCTATGATGAGCCAAATTCATCTTTGCCAGAAGAGAAATTTTGATAATTCCAAGAAATCTGATTGGAACAAATTGGATATACCTTCTCTTGTCTGCATGACTTTGTGAGATCAAAAGAGAGGGCTTTGTTTCCACTTTTTTCTACTAGCCTGATACGTATTGTCACTTAAAATGGTTGCCTTTAAACAAAATGTAGAATACTAATTACCAGTAAGTAATCATCCAAATAAGTATGTCATAAAATAAATTACTTATTTTTCTTTTGTGGAATTACAGTGACTGCTATGTTGCACTAGCCACATTTATGGTCTCTGTTCTGGAGTCTTAAATGAAGGACACACAGCAGCAGGTAACAGAAACCAGTTATGTTCCAGACCTGCGTTTCATGACGAAGACTCCAGACACAGTGGATTTAGCTGAGTTCAGACGTTAAGGGACATAACTCATACAGATCTTCTGACAGATCCTAGTGTTAGTTTTATTTGTGGAGGAAAGACATTTAATAAGCTGTTTGAGAATCTTGGTTAATAAAGATTCATTTTACATCTGAATAACCATACTTCTTTTAAGTTGGCATTTGGAAGATAATTGTGGAATGTGTAGAGACTTCCTGTTGGGATGCACTTATATTTTTATTTAATTACTGCTTGTTTTCTAGTTTTGCCCAGAATGTGTGAAACCACTAAAGACATTCATGAGCTTTTTAGGCTCTTGGTTAGGAAATGACAAAACCCACTGTTTATGTTGAGGTCAGCCTACGGAGTCAGTGCTTTGAAAAATCAGGAAGTTGTCAAAGAGGCTTAGAATCCAGGTTCTGGAAAAGTAGTTTCATTTTACAGGAGAGTTTACTCACTGAGCTCCAGTTCCGATGCTAAATTAGACAGCATGATACGGACTGAAAAATGAGACGCGGAAGCTGCCATCCTTCCCGACGCGCTCCGTGGGGTCTGTCCTGCTCTCTTCGTCCTGTCGGCCGTACACCACTGCCGTTTGGTCGGAGTGTTGCAGGCCGCTTCATCTGCAAACGCGTTCCAGTTGTCAGCGACCTACTAACAGCTTCAGCACCAGGATGGATTTGATTTTGTTTTGCGTGCCATTGCCATCTCCTCTGTTCATGTTTTGACATTCAGGAATATATTTTTATTTTTATGCCATACTGAAACCTACAATGTATATCTGACAAAGCAGTTAAATGTGACAATAAAAACTTATTTAATCATGGTACCACTGTTTTCATGTCTGTCTCAACACCTGACAAGGTCTTGCCTCGTTTCCTTCCTTCGGGCAGTTCTTAACAGACTTCATACCGTTTTTTTAAAGGGCATTAAAACTCATCTCCATGTAGATTTTTTTTTTTTTCAGACTGGTTTCAGGGGAAATCCAAGAACACAGCTTCCTAAAATGTTACCACTGGTTTCAAAAAGAATGTGTTGCGTGTCAAGTTACTAAGGGAATTGAGTATCAATGGAGAATAAAATGGAATTTTTCCAAGTTCCCAAAAGACATCTTTCACATAAGACCCTCTGAGATTGAAAGTGATTCAAGACTGGAAAAGGAGAATTCGGTGCTCTGAGAGTGCCTTGGGACTCATGGAATTGCCTCGGCTCAAGGATCTGCTGGCGAACGTGTATTCCAGATTCTGCGGGAGCTGTTCCCGTTAAGAGACGTGTTCCGAAAGCCAAGGTGGTATTCTGTTTTCGGCAGGACTTTAAAACTTGGATCGTAGCCTTTTAAGATTCTACTCTCCATCTCTAACTGTTTAGAAGGCTGGATTCTTTTAACTTAGAAGTCTGGAAGTGCTTAATTACATGTTGTAATTGGTTTTTCTGGAGAAGGATCAAAACAAAAATGGAAACCTCATCCGCAAACATTCAGACCCTAAGGATATGTATTTTCAAATTCCAGACACAGTGGGGGGCAGTAACAATAACTGCTTTAATAAAAAAGATTTCAACCCACTGTCTTGTGAATGCATATTTTAAGGAGGTAAAAAAAAAAATCTCAAGGAATGTTAAAGAGTATAATAGAAGTAATGGTTATTAACTATTCTGGTTTGCCTTGACTGTGGGCTTCAGTTCAGTTGCTGAAAGATCTTCGCTCTTTTACAAGGTTCTGCTTCATCCTTTCCCACAACAAACCTTAATTCTGCTAGACAGGGAGCCTGAAGGCAATTGGTTCTGCAAATGTGGTGCTAATAAATAATGGAAAATGTTTCCTTTTCAACTTTATGACAAACAGATTTGGGAAAAGATCTGGGACTTAGCTTAACTCTCTTTCTGCAGTGATTTCTTGTGGTTCCCTAAATAAGGCAGGAGAGTCAACACAGAGGATACGTCCAAATTGGGCTACTCTGGGGTGGCTCTGACCCCCAGCGACTGGAGGATGGGCACCCGCTGGCAGTGAGGACCTGGAACAGAAACAGGAAGTTGTCCTCTCGACTGCCAGAGGCTACCCGTGATCCAGAATGTCGTACTTAGAAATGGCCTTCTATTTGTGCAGAGACTTAGCAAAAGGAAGTCCATTACAGCATTTTTCTAATAGCTCCCCCCGCCTCCCCCCAAAAAGGAAATTAATGCTCATGACAGCAAAAATGGTTAAATTTTGGTACACTCAGAGAAGAAACAGTCTGCAGCCATTAAAAATACCCAAAAGACTTCTCAACAGGGAAAGATGGTTTCTAGATACTAAATGAGGAAAGCCAGGTTTTCAAATAGTATGTAAGGTATGATCTGATTTTTTTTTTGGTGGGGCGGAATTTTATGTAATTTTGCTGTCGATAGAAAATAATCCGGAAAGATACCAAAGTGTTAAAAGCATTGTCCCTGGATCTTGGCAATGTGGGTGATTTTTTTTCATCCTTATCTGCATTTTCTAATTTCTCTGCAACAAGGATTGGTATAATAAGAACGGGTAGGGGACTGGCTACGTGAATTATCATGTGCACATCTAGAGGAGATTCTGGGAACATTTATGATTCTCTGGGTCTCTTGCCCAACACACTTCCAGCTTTTCAGATTCGTAACCAGTGGGAGAGCAGCCTTGATGCTGCTCGCTCCCCTGCATGAACTTTTATCTCATTTCCAAACGAAATCACGTACTTAACGTTTTGTTTTGCACTGATACCGATTATTTTCCCTAATCTAGAGCCAATTCAACTTTTCATAGTTTGGAATCCGTTTCCTAAATTTCCAAGAAGCACTTAAAAAATGCCTTCTGAGACTGAAAGTGATTCAAGACTGGAGCAGTTATTTATGATATTTTTCTCAGGCAAACGTGCTTACTACAACATGGATTTTTGGAGTCAAACTGTAAGAATGATTTCCTCAATCTTGCAGGTAGCTGCAAGATTTGTGCGTGCTGCTTGCTGTTGTCCTTTGGTGTGGTGTGCTTCCTGCTTGGGGAGCCTAGTAATTATATTAATTACTAGGAAATATAGACTTGATAGTCCAATCCACACACAAACAAGTCCAGAAGGTGTTTGATTCCAAAGCAAATATATGCTTGCTCGAAACGTTTGCTGTGACCAACCAGTCATGGGCACTGCGTGGGGGAGCTGCAGGCTCGTTAATCTTGAGTGACTAGAAACATGTGGTTTTGCTGTACTAAAATGTGGATCATTCAAAAGACCATTCAGACAGTTTTGGGGTGTGGGTATATGGGAGGAATTCGAGGACAATAACCACTTTCTAGAAATACTAAGTCCAGGGAATGTCCCTGACACAAGCGAGATGGGAAGTTAAGAGAGATTTTATGCAATTTGAATCTTTAAAAAGCTCATCTTCTCAGTCTGTCACAATCCTACTCATTGTTTAAAGCCTGGCTTAAGTGTCACCTCCTTTAGGAAACTTTTCTGACTCACCTGGGAGAACCGTGCAGCCTGAGTGCCTTGCTCAGACCTCTGTCCGATGCCTTGCCCTTATCTCGATTAGCACTCAGCACGTTACATAGAGCTGTAGTTAATATGTCTGACTCCTCAGGAGGATGCCACGCCCTCAAGAGCAGGAAAAGGACGGAGGCATCTCGGAATTTCTGGCACCAGCACGGGCTTGCCATAGAGTGGGCATCTAGAAATATTTGCTACTTGAAGGTTGAATGAAAGTAGACACCCGAATAAAACTGCCCCGTAGATAGACTTGTTCCCAAAAAATTAAATGGTAAGACAAAGATTATCATCTGGGGAGGTTACTAGTTTGACAGAGTAGTCTGAAACGCTCTTTGTACTGAAAACCTTGCTAAACAGCTGCGTAAGAAATGATGGAGTTCACAAGGACAGGCGTGAAGTCAGCATAGTGTAGAGGCAGGACAGGTGCTCGAGAGTCCGGTTTCTACTCAGGCCCCACTCTGCCCTGAATTGGCTGCGCAGTCTCAAGAAGTCTCAGGACCTCCATTTGCTTATCTGTAAAATGGGCTCGAGAATGATGCTGCTTGTCCTGTAAGGTGGTTGAGGGAATTGCCGGGGAATGTGAAAATACCTTGGTAAACTGTAAAGCACCACAGTAGCGGTTACCTTACAGCTGGCCAGACTTCATCTTAATGTCCTCCTAGGTAAAGTGCCCTGAGATGCCAAGGCCACCATCTGAAGAGAGTGGCACGCAGCACTCTGCAGGGACCTGGAAGAGCCCGGAAAGCAGTCTCGTGAGTATCATTTCTTCCATTGATGGGGATTTCCTCCAAGGCCAGAATGGGGTTCTGCCAATCACATCTGGCCCCAAAGCCTGGTGTGGCTCGCAGAACTGTCTCCTGTGGCGGAACTGGAAATGCGTGCAAAGGAAATGGACCATTACTCGACGGAATCTGCCTTGTAGAAGCAGCTGTTGTTTTAAACTTCATCCTTCGACCACTCTGGAAAATTATTTGTGACTTTTACTTGGGCAGACTAAGTGTGAGTAAACCTTAGAAAGTTGAGATTGGCAAAGCCGTTTTACCCTTTAAAAAGTTGTGAGAACATTTCGACGTTTTATAAAGTTGGCTGCCTTGGCCTTTGGTATGCTGTAGAGCAGGAAAATAATCTGACAGTGACCAAGGTCACAGTAATTGATGGTATTTGGGTTTGAGCTGGTTACCAACACGCATTCAGGGCTTAGCTGTGTCTGACTCTCCACCTCCAAATCACGCGTGCGTTCTCTTTTCTCTTTCTTCAGTGTGGGAGTTTGAAAACATACAAAAGTCGGATCATCTAGAGGACCACTCCTTTCCCTCCCCCAGTTTCAAAGATTCAACTATTGGACACCCTTGTGTCATCTACAGCTTTTTCTTTAAAAAATATTATGTTTTTTTAAAACATATCCCCAACATCTCATTCGTTCGCCTACTCCTAAATACTTCTGCGTATAGATCTAAAAAATAAGGAGATTTTCTTACACAATCACACCATTATCATTCCTAAAGAAATTAATAATTCCTTAATATGATCTAGTGCTTTGTCCATGTTCCATTGTCTTTGGTTATCTCAAAAATCTGTTTACAGTGGAAGATCTCAGTCACCCCTTAATTAACTGCTCAGTTTTAGTGTCATAAACAGGGACACAGAATGACATTTATGGGCCTTCTGATGTGACGTGATTATGTGTGCATTTCACCTGTAAAGTTTTCTTATTCTAACCTGAATCTAATCAAGTCCGTGGGCCTTACTTCCAGTTTACAAGAAATACACAGGAACAAGTTAAAACTATATCATGAAGAAACAGAGAGATCTGGAACATGGGACACGCTATAACTGGCCTAATTTCTTCAAAAAGTTGGTGTTATGGGGGAAGGAAAGGAAGGAAGGGGTGGAGGGAACATTTGGACTAAAAGGAATTACAGAAAACACAACAACCTTGATTGGCTTTGACTTTGGAAAAACCATACATTTGGAGAAATTTGAAAAGGGACTGGGTTACCTGATATTAAAAAATTATTGTTTTCTTAGACACAAAAATGATATTATGGTTATGTGAGAGAATCTCCTGAACTTGAGGAAATACAGGCTGGATGTTTAGGGGTGAAGAGTCATGATCTCTGCAGCTCCTGTTCAAATGGCTCAAATGCCACGTATACAGAGAAAGACAATATGGCGAAGGTTAGCTCTGAATCTCGGTGATGGGTACATGAGTGTTCACTGCACTGTTCTTTCTACTCTTCTGTATGTTTGCAAATTTACATAATAAAAAGGGAAAAATTAAAAATAATTCATATTTCACTATTTCATAGGAAGATACTAAAAATGTTCAATGACTGGTATGAAATATAAATTAATATAGAAATAATAAAGTTAATATCGTTTCTCTTATTCTTGAAATAACCTAAAATATATAAAGATATTTCATATATATAAAATGAAGGATTATATGTTATAGTATAAATTATTCATCTCATTATTCTAATAATTTCCAAATCATTTTTGAATGTTTAGAAATTGTCAGTGTGATTGTTTGTTTTGCACAGCTGTCACTGTTAAGTGGCACCCCCATCCGGGCCATGATCTGCCTTAGGAACTGCACCAAACTCTTCTAAAGGGTTTCTCATAAACCAGTAGCCTTGAGTGACACAGTCTCAGTGAGCAGAGAGTCACTTTTATCATCGACAGTCTTCCTCTGGACACGAGATTCTCTCTCAGCTTCTACTAAAGCCAAAGCATTCACATTTAGAATTTTTCTAGCCTCTATCATACTAAGGTTTTTACATATCTGATCTCTCTATTGTCAACTAACTTGAAAATACTTTGTTAGGATGCCATCGAAGTCAGCTAAATTTTATTACTTTTGTTCGTTTAAAATCCAAGAGCTTTGCAAATATCAATTAGCCAAATTTCAGGATTAAATAACTTAAAAGACATCACACTTTATTATGTTTATTGACTTTTATAAAACAGCACATATGTTCTCAATTAATTTATTAGGCAATGTAAGTTTTCCTAGGAATTACCACTTTGTTGTTTCAAAATGCATGTCATATTTCTTTGTTTTTCTACTACCTT